CGATTGTTTTTCAGGTAGTGTTTGTGGGTTCCGATCTTGTGTTGGGTGGGTTGCTTTTGATAGTCTGTGGTGGCTGCTAAGATTGCAGGTTCTTCTATGTTCGATTGTGAAGATCTCTTTGGATTCTCTCTGGTTTGATCTTTTACCTCTCTCGTCTTGTGAGATTGGTGTTATCCGGATTGGATCGTTCGCTCCATGTCTCTGCATTATAGACCTGATCGAGGTCTGGTCTTTCATGAAACTTCTATCTAGGGTGTTTCTTTGTCGCCTTGTCTCCGACAGCCCCGTATCCAGAAGAAAGTTTGGGGAACTATGATTAGTTCTATCTTGCCGGGTCATTAAGTTTAGGAATTTTGATCTTTGAAGGCATTTATTCATCTCAATAGGAGGTCTTGTGTATCGTTGGTTGGCCGCGGGCATCTGCGATACTTCTCTCTCAATGGATCTTCAAGAGCTAGGTGACTCGTAATTTGTGTGTTAGTCCACTATGTCAGGATTAAGCATTTTCTACCTTTTTCAGTTTTGGTTCTCTTCTACCATTGCTTCATTCCTTCTTGCCCTTTAGTATCAAATATGGCTTCTCTTTCATAGGGTTTTAGACTCCGGAGAAATTCTGTATTCCGCCGGCTTTAGACTCCGGGAAAATTCTGTATTCTGTCGGCTTTAGTTTGTATCACAAGTATCTTCTCATGGTATTATCAATAAAATCAGATGACAAAAAAAAAATTACGTTTTATACGTTTCACATTGACCGTATAACCAATAAACAAAGTAAAAAATTCGTTAAGAACCAAAAAAAAAGAAAGAAAGTTATTTTTAATGCGCAAAGAAGACAAGATGATAAATTTGATCTGGAGGACAGGACACCCACGTATATTTTGTCCAAAATTTAGGTTAAAAAATAAATAAAAAGAGACCAAGTTTGGGAACGGTTAACACGAATCGGGATATCTAGAGATACTCCTTGGTTTTTGATAGGGGATTTCAATGAATTAACCGGAAATCATGAAAAAAGAGGTGGTAAATTGAGACATGCTTCTTCTTTCATCCCTTTTAATTTAATGATAAACGATTGTGGACTTTTGGATTTTCCATATCTCGGAGATTGGTTATCTTGGAGGGGATGGCGGGATAAAAAACCTATATGGTGTCGGTTAGATAGAGCGTTAGCAAATGAGGATTGGCATGAATTATTCCCTAGTTCTTTCGTTGAATATTTACAAATGGTAGCTTCTAACCATTCTCCGGTTATAGCCTCAATTTTAGATAAGATACCACGGAGTAAGCGATCTTTTAGGTTTGATTCCGGGGTTACTAGAGGCAATATCAAGTGGGTGGAATCTCGATTCCGGTGCTGAAAAGGGACAGTTTGTGGAAAAATTGACTAATTGTAGAAAGGCTATTTCACAATGGCGGAAAGAATTATCTCCTTATGGACGGGAAAAAATAGAGGATCTGAAATTAGAATTCGATGTGGCTCAAAGTGATGATACGAGATCACGTGAGGAGATTACGGAGTTAACATTGCAGTTGAAAGAGGCTTATAGAGATGAAGAATTATATTGGTATCAAAAAAGTAGGAGTCTTTGGATGAAATTAGGGGATAATAATTCGAAATACTTTCATGCTCTGACAAAACAGAGGCGTGCAAGGAATCGGATTACCGGTTTACATGATAAAAATGGGATATGGTCTGTAGAGGATAAAGATATTCAAAACATAGCGGTCTTTTATTTTAAAAATTTGTTTTCTACATCTAATCCGCATGTTTTTGAGGAGTCCCTAGCAGAGGTGAAAACATTGATCACGGATCAGATAAATGATTTTTTGACGGCTCCCGCGACGGAACGCGAGGTCCGAGCAACATTATTTATGATGCATCCGGAAAAAGCACCAGGACCTGATGGGATGACAGCCTTGTTTTTTCAGAAAAGCCTGGATTACTATTAAATCGGACTTGTTGATCCTCGTAAACTCTTTTTTACGAGATGGAGTTTTTGATAAGCGGTTAAATACGACTAATATATGTCTTACTCCAAAAACGGAGCGACCAACCCGGATGAAGGAATTACGGCCCATTAGTCTCTGCAATGTTGGTTATAAAGTTATTTCAAAAATCCTTTGTCAAAGACTTAAGACGGTACTACCAAAACTTATTTTGGAAAACCAACCGGCTTTTGTAAAAGGACGACTAATCTCAGATAATATTCTTATGAGTAAGGCTTACGATCGGGTTGAATGGAAGTTTATCGAAGAATTATTGAGGAAGATGGGATTCTGCGAAAAGTGGATTTCGTGGATGATGTGGTGTATCACAACAGTCCAATATAGAGTTCTTCTTAATGGACAACCCCGAGGACTAATTATTCCGGAAAAAGGATTAAGACAAGGAGATCCTTTATCTCTTTACTTATTTATTTTATGTACGGAAGTGCTTATTGCGAATATAAGGAAAGCGGAACAACAAAAATTAATTACTGGTATTAGAGTATCTACAGCTAGTCCTTCGGTATCTCATCTCTTATTTGCTGATGATAGTTTGTTCTTTTGCAAAGCCAATAAAGAACAATGTGGGGTAATTTTGGGGATTCTAAAGCAATATGAAATGGTTTCAGGGCAACAAATTCATTTTTCAAAATCTTCGATTCAGTTTGGCTATAAGGTGGATGATTCTATTAAGGCAGAAATAAAAGCAGGTCTAGGAATTCAAAACCTCGGGGGTATGGGATCTTATCTTGGTTTACCTGATAGTCTTGGTGGATCGAAGACCAAGATCTTTTCTTTTGTCAGAGATAGACTCCAGGCTAGAATAAATGGTTGGTCAGCCCAAATTTTATCAAAAGGTGGGAAAGAAGTAATGATTAAATCGGTAGCTGCGGCGCTACCAACATATGTTATGTCTTGCTTTAGGTTACCAAAAACAATTACTTCTAAACTTACAAGTGCGGTTGCTAAGTTTTGCTGGAGTTCTAACGGCGAGTCGATAGGAATGCACTGGATGGCTTGGAATAAGCTATGTAGTAGTAAATCAGAAGGAGGTGTAGGATTTCGGAATGTAGATGATTTTAATTCGGCATTACTAGCAAAACAATTATGGCTTTTGATTACGGTTCCTGATTCATTTTTTGCAAGGGTTTTTAAAGGACGGTATTTTCGAAAATCCAATCCATTGGATAATATAAAATCATACTCTCCTTCTTATGGTTGGAGAAGTATATTGTCAGCTAGATCTCTGGTTATTAAAGAACTTATTAAAGAGTGGGTTCTGGGGCATCCATCTTAGTTTGGGAGGATCCATGGATACCAGCTCAATTCTCGAGACCAGCAAAAAGTAATGGTTCAATTATTGACGCATCTTTAAAAGTTAATAGCCTTGTCGACAGCCGGTCAAATTTTTGGAATATGGATCTATTAAGGGAGCTCTTTGATCCAGAAGATGTCGCGCTGATTAGTGCCTTGCCTTTGGGTGCGTCAACTACAGAGGATATCCTTGGTTGGCATTACACTAAATCTGGAAAATATACAGTTAAATCTGGTTACCATACGGCTCGGATAGAGGATTTGGATGCCAGTTCAAAATCTTTTGGCCCGGATATAAAACCTTTAAAAGCATATGCTTGGAAGGTGCAGTGTCCACCTAAGGTACGACATTTTCTGTGGCAAATTTTATCAGGTTGTGTACCGGTTACAGAGAATCTGCGAAAGAGAGGTATAAATTGTGATACTGGATGTGTTAAATGTGGCGCCATAGAGGAAACAATTAACCATACATTTTTTGAATGTCATCCAGCGAGACAAATTTGGGCTCTTTCTCAAATTCCTTCGGTCCCCGGAATTTTTCCTACGGCTTCTATTTACGAGAATTTGGATCACCTATTTTGGAGAATACCTTCAGAGGTAGATTCATCTTCTTATCCATGGATAATTTGGTACATTTGGAAAGAAAGGAATGAAAAGATCTTTGACAATGTGGATAGAGATCCATTAGACATCTTACGCTTTGCGGAGAAAGAGGCGCAATCGTGGCAGTTAGCTCAAATTGAGCTTCATACTGATAACCATGATTTTTTCGATAATGAAAATCAAAATCGAGTGAGGGAAATCTCACTGGATTCTAACTATTCAGGATATCGTTGTTTCATAGATGGATCATGGAAAGGAACCGATACTTTTTCAGGAACATGATGGTTTTGTACATCATCAAATGGAGAGATGCCAACTATGGGAGCTGCCAACATCCGTAGAAGTCTATCTCCTCTACATACAGAAGTCGAAGCTCTTCTTTGGGCGATGAAGTCTATGATTGGTGCTGACAACCAAGATGTAGCTTTCTTTATAGACTGTTCAGATTTGGTGAAAATGGTGTCTTCTCCAACCGAATGGCCGGCTTTTTCAGTGTACCTGGAGGACCTTCAGAGTGACAGGGAAGAATTTTCAAGTTTTTCTTTATCTTTAATTCCTCGTAACGCAAATGTAAAAGCGGATAAATTGGCTCGACAAGTTCGTACCGAACCACTTCACATCACTTATGTAAACAACATTCCGCAAAATTGGCTCTTTTGAACGTTTAATTTAAGCTGTTGACAACAAAATAAAATAAAATAATATAAAATAAAAAGGTTATCTGTCCCGTATTAAATATTTATTTAATAAAAAGGTTATCTGTTCCCGTATTAAAATATATAATGTCCCGGCTTAACTGATTCTTTAATAAAAAGATTTTTTTTTAAAAAAATATTATATATAAAAAAAACATATATACGCGATTTAAGTCATATATATTACTGTATGTGTGCGTAGAAAATATAGACGACAGTACTCGACTCTTTAGATGGTTAGTCTTTTTTCACACTTGTTTTTTTTATACAAATCACCGAATTCCTCTTCTTCTTCTCTTCCTTTTCTTCTCTCCTTTTATATATGTGGAAAGCTGCATTTATTAGGAACACTAGTTTAGAAAGTGTCAACCCCTAAAGGAATGTTTTTTGTTGAGAGGAGAGAGAAGAAGAAGAAGAAATTGTTAATTTGAAGACTATCTGAGGGAACCTCCTATATATATAAACTCCAAGTTATAAAAATATTACTTCAGAAAAAGTTCCATTGGAGAGACTCTTAAAGCTTCAATTTGATTCTCATGTAAGCACTCTTGTACTTTTTTCTGATTTCAAAAAAAAAAAAATCGAATAGAGTACTGTTTTCTGTTTTCTGCATTTACTCTTCTTCTTCTTCCTCCTTTCATATGATTAACATTCAATGCAAAATTCTTTTAAATTCATTTTACAAAAACTTATCTAAGTTCTGCTACTTTTCTTGTTTCCTCTCTCTGCGACATTCCTTATCTCTCAAAATTTAATGTTATCTCCTCGTACATACTCTTTGTTCTGTTTTAAGAATTCACCCACCAATGACCAAACCATTAATTTCTTCAAACCCACTTTCAGTTTCATTTTTTTCAAAAGAGTAACCAAAAACTAATCTCTCTCTATTTTTCTTCCGTGTTGAAGCTAATTATGGGTGGATTAATGAGATTTGGTGAACTAGGAGAACAATTTGGTCAGATTTCAGAAACTACAATTGAAGAGAAGATCCCATTTCTGCAAATGCTTCAATGCATAGAACACCCTTATACAACAACAGAACCAAATCAGTTTCTTCAATCACTTCTCCGGATCCAAACCCTAGAATCAAATAGCTGTCTCACCCTTGAAACCACCATCAAAAGAGATCCGGGTCAAACGGATGACCCGGAAAAGGATCCAAGAACAGAAACCGGAGCAGCAACGGTCAAAGAAAAGAGAAAACGGAAACGTACAAGAGCTCCAAAGAACAAAGACGAAGTTGAAAAACAAAGGATGACTCACATTGCCGTCGAACGTAATCGACGACAACAAATGAACGAACACTTAACCTCTCTCCGATCTCTTATGCCTCCTTCGTATATTCAACGGGTAATAAATTGCTTTAATCAAAGTTTTTAACTCTTTCTCTCAAGAACGTATATATATATTTTTTTTTTCCAAGAACGTAATTTAGCTTAACACGAAAACGTGTTTGTTTCTTTAGGGTGATCAAGCTTCGATTGTAGGAGGCGCAATAGATTTCATCAAGGAACTGGAGCAACTCTTGCAATCTCTAGAAGCTGAGAAACGTAACGATGGAACTAATGAAACTCCTAAAACGGCGTCGTGTTCTTCATCTTCGTCTCGTGCATGCACTAACTCTTCTGTTTCTAGCGTCTCTACGACGTCGGAAGATGGATTTACGGCGAGATTCGGCGGCGGAGAGACGGCGGAAGTGGAAGCTACGGTGATACAGAACCATGTGAGCTTAAAAGTTCGGTGTAAGAGAGGAAAAGGACAGATCTTGAAAGCTATCGTCTCGATTGAAGAACTAAAGCTTGGGATTCTACATCTCACTATCTCTTCTTCTTTTGACTTTGTCATCTACTCTTTTAATCTCAAGGTAATAAAAAATCTTCACTCTCTAATCATATCTTAAACTAACAGTTTTAAATTCCACTAGTTTAAGCATTTTTATTATAAGTATTCTTGTGTAAATAGCAATTTTTGGCTTTTTGAGGAAAATTAAGGAATCTGTTTTTTGAAATGTTTGGTTAAGAAATCTAAAATGCATGAGAAACCATAATAGAAGATATCTATAAATATATATATATATATATATATATTATATATATGCCTTTTTACTTCACCCTACGACTTAGAAAACTTTCTTTTATTTTAGTTGCTAATTTTTGTTATAATTATTTTGAAGAGATGAGAAATGAATGGTGTTGCATGCAGATAGAAGATGGTTGTAAATTAGGATCAGCAGATGAGATAGCGACAACCGTCCATCAGATCTTCGAGCAAATCAACGGTGAAGTGATGTGGTCAAATCTTAGTCGAACTTAGTTGACTTTTGACTCCAAGTTATGTGTGTAACCCTAAGAAGAATAACTAAAGAGGTGAAAGTTTGGGAGAGTTTTTTTTTTTTTTTTTTTTAAACTTTTTAGATTTTAGAGTAGTCGCAGACTTGCAGTGTTCTACAATGCCACATGAAGGTTATTATTGCCTGTAAATTTTGAAGAGATACTAACTTTAGACGTCCATGAATTCAGTTTTCACCCCAGAAAAAAATAAAAATAAACCATGAGTAAATATTTATTCCCATCTATTTAAATGTTTCCCATTAAGAACCTGACTTTAGACGTCCGTATTAGAATTGTTACGGAAATGGAAACAAATACAATTAAAGCTGAACATCATTACAAAGAAAAAACGTCGTCTTCATATTTCGCATTCTCTTATTAATAAGATTTTATTTTCCATATTACATGCGTCTGACAAATTTACGCTTGGTGAAAAGTGACAGCTACAAGCCTACAATATAAATTTAAAGATTTTTTTTGCATCAACGTCTAGAGACTAAAAATACAGTACTTTATTGTATAATGACACTAGTTTTACTTTTTATATTAACTTAGAAAAACGATGAGAAAGGTGGCAGAGAAAAATTAATATTCCAAAGATAAAAAAAACATCGTAAAAGGAAGTCTATGGTCAGAGTCTCATTGACGCATCCGTCTCACTTAAGCCTATTTCACATTACTTTTTTCAAAATTTTAATTCATACATGGGTTTACGAATAATTTTTAATACCTTCTAACTTTTCAATTTTGAATTAAGAACTTATAAAATCGGAAAAACTAAAATCAGATACAACGAATCCGATGATATACTTCAATTCTGCAATATAATATCAATAAAAACATATTATTCAGACAGCAATGATGTATATTTTTATTTGAATATTCAATATTGTGTGTAAGAGTGAACGACAAGATCATACGTCAGAGATAATCGACTGGGTAACACTCTGATCTTTTCCAACTTTTGGTCAAAGTCAAACCATTTGGTCACTTTTACAGTCAAATTTTCAAATAAATTAAATAATTATTATTGAGTTAATATGTAAATTATTCATTTCTCTAGAGGAAAAAAAAAACTCATTTTTCATTTTGGGCTCAAGATAAAAGCCCTTCTACAATCTTTAAAAGATATAAGCCCAATGAACGGGACGACAGAAGTTTTCTAGTTGAATTCATTCACAAAACCCCGGGAATTTTAGATGAATCACGATTTTTTAATAAAAAAAAGGGGAGATAACCGATGCTTTGACTTGACTCTCCCCTCTAACCCTTTGCCCTCCTGCCCCCTCCCCTGCTTTTTTGGCTAGTCAAATCTGCCATGGTGGGTAGCAGGTACAACTGACATATTAATAGGGACAACTGGTACAAATATATCAATAGTACAATGAATACAAATGGTACAACTGATACATGGACAACTAGTACAACACATACAAGAACAACTGGTACAAATGGTAAAATTTTAAAAAATTATAATTTTAAACCCTAGCGCCGTCACACTCACTAATTCGTTTCTTCTTTGCTTTGTTCATTGACGTCGCCGCTGATTCTCCACCACCGCCGATTCTCCTCCACCGTCGATCCTCCTCCACCGTCGATTCTCCTCCACCGCCGATTCTCTTCCACCGCCGATTCTCCTCCACCGCCGATTCTTCTCCGTCACTACAAAGCCGATTTGGGAGAAATCTAGATCGGGATTGTTGTTAATCTCAGATCTGTGAGAAGAACGAAGATCTATGGATCTAGAATGAGAAGATCGAAGAGAGGGAAGAAAGATCCATGGAGAAAAAGAGGTTTCGTTGATGGTTAGAAGAGGAAGAAGAGATTTAGGGTTAAGGTTTCGAAAAATCTAGAAGAAGAAGAAGAAGTCGCCGATGAAGGAGAAAGAGACGGAAGAAGAGAAGCGTGAAAGCTTGGAAATTAAAAACTACGCGAAAATCAAAACATTTCGTGTGGCAATGTGTGACAGATTGTTTGGCCTCGTGTCAACGACTGGTTTATCGCCATATTGGTAGATATAAAGGATGTTCAAGATGTGGTGCAGCAGAAGACACGATTAATCACTTGATCTTCGAATGCCCTCCTTCTAGACAAGTCTGGGCCCTTTCCAATGTTCCATCATCTCCATCCTTATTTCTCTCACCTTCTCTATACAATAACTTAGATTATCTGTATTGGCGGGGTAAAGAGGTGGGTGCGGATGAAGAGGGCCTAAGTTTATTTTCATGGATCATGTGATATATATGGAAGGCGCGCAATCGAAAGATTTTTGAGAATTTGTGTGTACCACCTTAAGAAACTCTAGACCTAGCAATTCAAGAGGAAGAGGCGTGGAGGCGAGCAAATACCCAAGAAGAACCCCAGGCCGCGATGGACCATAGCCTGCAAATAACGACAATTTTCGAGGATAGACCGGTTTAGTATATAGATGGATCCTGGCATGGGGCGGAAATGAAGAGTAGGCATGGATGGATTGTTTATTGTGGAGGATAAATTTTACACTTAGGATTAAAAAGTTCGCGTAGAAGTCTTTTCTTTCATGCGGAACTGGAGACTCTTTTGTGGACGATGCAGTGCTTAGTGGCGATTTCGATGACGAGAATACTAATTTTGACGGATTGCACGGATCTTTTAGAGATGGTCTCAAAACCGGAGGAGTGGCCCACGTTTTCTACAGAGTTGGTGGATTTTGCTTATTACAAAGATTTGTTTTCATCGTTTAGTTTGCAGCATATCCCTCGTAGTGGTAATACTTCCGCTGATCATTTTGCGAAATGTGCAAAAGATCATGGGTTATGTTTTTTCCATATAAGTTCTACGGTTCCTGATTAGCTCTCTCTAGAAGAGAGTCATTTACCGTGAATTAATATATGGTGCTTGATTGAACAAAAAAAAGAACGAACTCGGGGGTTTGATTCAAATTTCGAAAGTTTTGATTTTATATTAATTTTTATAAGTCGAGGAATGTGTTACTTTGATGATTTTTTATTTTTTATTTTTTGAAGAATATTTGATAATTGTAAAGAGTTTGTAGATGTTTTTGAATAGAGAATTGGTCAACGTAGCACAATTAACTTTTTATTAGAGAATCGGTGAACGTAGCACAATTAGTGTAGATAAAATATCATCGAGCGAATTAAGGAATTCTACTAAATCGATGATATCTGCAAATGTCATGTAATTTATAATATTTCATACATAAAATGTTTAGTTTTCCATGTGATATAGTGTGGTAAAAACATACGATGAGTTATAAACTTATAATACTAAATTACTAATCATAATTATTGAGGAATATACATCGTGAGTATCATCAAGTCTCGTCATCACACTTTGCTTGAACGTGCAAGAAACTGCGAAACGCGTTTGGAGCAAAAACCGGGGCACCGAAGTACCGTTTATTGAATTCCTTTTTTTGTGTGTTAAATATACTTAAATCGACTAAAAAATAATTAGCTAAGATTCACATATTAGAACGTGCTTGGGCCAAAAAAAAAAAAAGAACGTGCATGGACCAACCAACCATATATTATATATATAGTTAGTTATATAGTATTGGTAATGGCGGGTCCCATTATTTGATATATTTTCACAATGGAAGCATACTCAAGAATATGCCTCCAATCAAATTCGTTTGTACATGAAACCCTTACGTGTGACAGAATACTACGTAAACCCCACATGATAATTTAATCTGATTTAAATTAATGTAAAATTTCCAACGATCGATTTATTAATAACTTAAAAACAACATAAGTAAAAATTAACATCGTAGCCACACGACTAAAAAAAAAACATTAAAAACACATGAGAGGATAAGTAACATCAATTAATCTCCCTCAAAATGCTGCCCCTTAGTAGGGTACAACAGTAGATTTCTTGTTTCACAAGACACAAGAAAAAGCCCTAACTTAGAAATCATTAGAAGGAAGTGGTTCATGCCCATTACTACCGATAAAGATAGTATCATAAACAGTAGCTGCAATGGCTGCACCGATAAAAGGACCAACCCAGTAGACCCAATGATTCGTCCAAGTCCAGCTAACCACGGCCGGACCAAAGGAAACCGCAGGGTTCATCGATGCACCATCGAACGCACCACCAACCAGAATGTTAGCTCCAACGATTAACCCAATCGCTAAAGGAGCAACGATTCCAATATCACCTTTCTTGGGATCCACGGCAGTAGCGTAAACCGTGTAAACTAACCCAAACGTCATCACAATCTCGAATACGACTGCATTCCACGGTGTCACTCCATGGGAGAGCGAAAACGCTGCTGTTTCCATCCCGCCTGTGCTTACCTTGAGCAACAAGCAAGCTACGACTGCTCCGAGTAATTGAGCTATCCAATATAGAACAGCTCTCAACAATGTAATGTTACCACCTATAAAAGCTCCGAATGTAACAGCGGGATTCACGTGGCCGCCTGAGACGTTTGCACCAACGGAAACCGCCACAAACAACGCAAACGCATGAGACAGAGACGCGGCCACGAGCCCGGAAGGTGTGGCTGGACCATCTCCAGTTAGTTTTCCGTAAGCCATTCCAGAGCCTTGACCCGCGAAAACGAATATAACCATGGAGAAAAACTCCGCGAAAGCCGCTCTAATCGCATCGGGACGACTAGCTTCTCCTGGCGTTCCAATCGCAATTCTGTTGATAGCCATTGTACAAAAAAATTTTGGTTTCTTGCTTCTTCTTTAATTTTTTGTTCTCACTAAGATTAAATAGTTAAAGCGTTAGTGCCAAATGTGTGTAGGAGAATCGTTCAAGAGACTGAGATTAGTGTTTTACGGTGGGCCCTAGGTTATAAGAGATCGAACGGTGATTATTATATCATATTTAATTAATAACTTAATTACGAATTAATTAAAGCTTAATCCGTTTTTCTCGGTTTCTATAAATACGATTATGGCTAGCAATTGAAGATCACGCGCTTTACTGTTTTCTCTTCCTCTTGTCACTTTTCTTTCTCCATACTTCCCGCAAGATTGTTCTGTTCTGTTCTCGAAACGATTCTAAGGTACGACTTTTTTTTTTTTTTTTTAAGTTATTGATCTCAAATTTTTGTTGTGTATCGATGTTTGATCCTCCGGATTTCGCATCAAACGGAAGATTTATCGATAAATGAACGATACAGATTGTTAGTCTTGAATCGTTAGTGATAAACTGAATTATCTTGATGGGTTTTTGTTGATTTTAGTCGTAGTAGAATCTGATGTAGATGTTGAA